TCAAAATATACATTTTAAAATCTGCATGCCTAAAACTATTTTCCGTAATTGCATAACAATCCGTTCAGCTGCTTAAAATATTTATATTATAGGAGTTATAATATTTAGGATAAGTCTTACATTAGACACTTTAATAGTTTCCATGTGAAATAAAGTAATACATTTATTGTAATGATTAATTTCAGAATATAGAACAGTCCAGTGAAGCAACTGCACAGCCAAAGTTAAGAGTGCCACTGTCTGAAATTGAAAATATTGTAGTGGAACCTTGTACCAGTGCAAAGTCATCAACACAAACTTTAGTGGATGTCGCAAGAACAACTGGATTCATTGACAGCGTGCAGGTAATAACATTTTCGATTTTTTGTTTTACATATTATGTCTTTTTAAATAATAAGATAGAGAGGAGTACTAAATATGTGATTCTAGTATTTATGTGTTTGTGTGAACTATGATACTTTCACTGTACTTTTTTTAACAAATTCTTTTACATTAATAATATTTTACATATTAATGGCTGTAGTAGGTCATACAGATAATTTATTTTGGCTTCAAATTAAGATTTTAATATTCAAACAAATTTGTGATCATACATAAGATATTTATTACCAACTGACAAATACCTTACAATTTTAAATTATGTGAGTGCTGGTATCGGTCCCTAAGAGTGAATATTTATAATTTCAGAATGAACTCAATGTGGCAACCTGTAGCAAGTCAAATTTGACCAAAAAACGTACTAAAATCCTAGCTAACCTAGGTGTCACAAAAGTAAGCCAAATGACACCAAGAGAAATACAATTATATAAAATATGCAAAAATAAGATGTATGAGATAATACGATTACGTAACAAAATTAAGAATATTAAGAGAGGGAAGATAGAGAGAGTTTTAGGAGATCACCATGTTGAAGAATTGAGTAATTTAAATATTAGCAATTCATTCATAACTTTATTGCAAAGCCAATTACAAAATTGCCCAAAAAAAACCAAAAGGGAGAAGATATACTTTACAACAAAAAATTCAGGCTTTGTTAATTTATAAAAAGTCCCCAGCCTGTTACAGATTACTGAAGAGAATGTTTGCTTTACCTTGTCAAACAAGTTTAAATCAACTCCTGAATAAAGTGCCACTAAAACCAGGCATAAACAAGCATATATTTACCTCATTAGAAAAAATGAGCCGGAACCAGGATAAAGAAGACAATATTTGTATTTTATCGTTTGATGAAATGTCTATAAGAAGACATTTGTATTACAATCAAAAGCTGGATGAAATACAAGGATTTCAAGACCATGGCAACCATGGTAGGACTGAAGATGTTGCCTCTAAGGCACTGGTATTTATGCTCACTGGGTTGAGAAAGAAGTGGAAACAGCCCATCGCATTTTATTTCTCCCATACAATAAAGGCAGATAGAATGACAATAATTTTAAAAGAGGTAAAGTATAGTATACTTTTTTGTAACTTTTATTACAAGACTGAAAAATATGTATGTGTATGTTTCAAATTTACACTTGTTTCTTCTTTTCAGATACTTACAGAATGCATTGCAGCAAAGATGAACGTGGTTGCTACTGTCTGCGATTTATCAGCTGTGAATTTGAAAGTTTTTAAAATATTAGGTGCAACATCAACTGCACCATTTTTTAATTTCTGTGGACAGGAAATTGTGTCTATACTAGATCCTCCACACCTTTTAAAGTGCACCAGAAATTTGTTAATGAAGCATGATATTGAAGTAACCTCTGATTTTCAATGCAATGAGAAGCCTGTAAAAGGTAAATAAAATATTTTAGTTTAGAGGATTTGACCCATATCATTTTTTTTTTAATTAAAGTCTTGTTGTGCAGATAATATACATAATGTCTACAAAACAAGAGTCAAATTATGTACTTACTATATAATATCTTATATTTTTTTTTAGGTACAGTGAAATGGAGCCACATTGAAGCATTTTATCAGTTGGACAAAACCAACCCCAATTTAGTTTATGCTCCTCAACTGACAGATAATCATTTGCGTCCAAATTGTCAGCAGAAAATGAGAGTAAAATTAGCAGCACAAGTGTTTAGCCACTCTGTTACAACTGGCATGTTAATGAAAATTGCTCAAAGTAAGTGAATTTATATAAATTGTGCAGCTGACTGGGAATCAGTATTGACTGTGAGATATATATCTCACAGTCAATACTGATTCCCAGTCAGCTGCACCTTAACCTATTGAAATTTGAGCCAAACACTGTCACTGTGGGTTAAGGTGGGGTAATGCCATGAACATATGTATTTTTCAGTGAAAAGTACCTTTGACAGTTAGAGATATTTAAAGAATTTTGACTGTAACAAATAGATACATTAGTAATTAAGTTTGAATTTTGTCACAGACTGCTAACTTTGTACCCTGCTGAACTGTACTGAAGACTTGGGTTTTATATATACATTGTCGATAGTAATATGAATGTGAGCAAGTTTGTCTACATGTTATTTAACAACAGAAATAAACAAAACTACCATTAAAACAGCTTGACTTTCTGACAATCAAGTGAAATCACAACCACGTGGTAGAACCATGCTGCAGCTATATTAGTAGTATAGTTGTAGCACAAATGGGTCGGCACGACCGGGGAAGAACCACGCTCTCATAGAATATCAGCTTAAAATAGAAGCTTAACACTGCTGTGTTTCATATGGTGAGTGTAGATAACCAGAGACCCCTTTTACTGGAAATGAGGCATTCCATCTTAGTCCTCACGGGTGACAATGTATCTGCATTTTGATTTGCAAACGAGGATAAATGTAGATGTCTATGGGCCACAGCAACCACTTACCATCAGGTGAACTGTGTGCTTGTTTGTCACCCTATGCTATAAAAAAAAAGAAACTTAGGATGAGTTAGTTGACATCTAGTGTATAATGATATTAATCAAAATATATATATTAATGAAAGCTCCTTGAAGTGAAATATTTTTCCTTTAAATGAAAATATAACTAATTAAACATTGTTTTTTTTTTCTTCAGATGAACTTCCGGCCGAAGCCCATGTGACAGCAACTTTCGTGCAAAAGTTTGACGAGCTGTTTGATGCTGTCAATGCAGACAGTCCAGATTTGAGAAGAGGAAAAAAATACTCGACAAACTTAAATAAAAAGACTCCTCATTTAGCTTTATTTAAGGGTATGAGAGAGTTCATATCGAATATGAAATATATAGGGAGTAAATCAAATCCTCCTTCCCAAGAAGGATGGATTCACACCCTTAATGCTATAGAAAGATTGTGGAAAAATTTGCAGGCTATAGGCATTAAGAGTCTTCCCACACGTCGCCTAAATCAAGATCCATTAGAAAATTGTTTTGGCTGCATAAGATATAGCTGTGGATCTAATAATAATCCTACAATAAACCAATTTATAGCTGGTATTAAAACTGCCATAATTTCAAATTTAAAACATTCAGGCCATAAAAGAAATTGTGAAGATGACACAGCAATTATTTCAAATAATTTGTCAAACTTTTTAACTCCAAATATCTCTCCAATTGTTAAATCACCAACTCTTCAGTTTGATGACACTAAAGAGATGGAAAATTTATTATTTGATGCAGTTGAAGCAGTAGAGCAGGGGACATCCGAAAGTCAAGCATGTGGATATGTGTCTGGAATTTCTTTTTGTCTATTGTCTGGATTGCCGAAAAGCATTTTTGTCAGATACACAAGAAATCATACACATGTTCACAAATTTTAAAGAATATGACCCTGCTCAGAACTCTTTAAATTATGTGGGTAAAGATATGGTGACGTGTGTAGAAATGATGGCAAATATAATAAATACATACTTAAAAGCAAATGCCTATAGGATAGAAGTAAAAGTTAACATATTCAGTGCATTGGAATGTGTAGATTATAATTTTCTAAAAAAATGTATCCATCATTTAGTATTGAATGAAAACCATTTAAAAGTAAGCACATTTTTTATAATAACTAAAAGATATTGTGTTTTAAGAAACAGAGATATGGACGACGAAGAGAAAAAGAAAACTCTTGAACGTAAAATGAGAATTTTAAAAAATAAATGATAATACATTATTTGTTGTTTCAATTACTCACACAATTTGAAAATAAATGTACTATAAGAACTTGAAGCAGGACTTTTTAATAATATGGAGCAAGATTTATCATAGCTATTAAATAATAATATAAAGACTCCATACTATTATGAATCATGCTTCATGTTCTTGCACTACTTATTAATTCAATTATTGCGTAATGCGATATCCTTTTTGAAAGTTCCCGCGTATTTTGTTTTAATTGCTATTCCGCAATGGCGCCAGCGTCGTGTAGGTGTGTTGGCTGTGGTTGGCCTTTTTTTACTATAGAGATGTTTTTCTTCTCTCGTTAGAGAGTAGTATGTTCCTTGGTCCATACAGAGTTGACCGTGCCTAATCTTAAGTTCATTCCGCCACTCGCGCTGTCGTCGCGCGCACGGTTCCATAACAACGGAAAAAATAGTGAGCACGTGTTGCGTTCGAGGTAAGTAGATAGTGTTCTATTTATTTGTGGCAACTTTTTAATGTTATATTTACTAGATATATATGTATTTAACGTAATATGTACATTTGTTTTATGTAATATAACCAAATCTTGTAAAAAATTGTGTGGTCGCTAACTAAAATGAAAATAATCTAATAATTTTAGTTTGCGGCCAGGTGGTCGCCAATTGACATTTAGAGTGAAAAACAATTTTTTTATATTTTAATAGCCTACAAACCTAGTCCGGGATTTTATGGCTTTCTATTACGTTTGTTTATTTCTTGTTACATGTATTTTAGTTTACGACTACCCAATTGTATTATAAATTGTGTAATTGACGATCTCAAAATGTATAGGGATTTTAAGTGGTCGCCAACTAAAAGTGGCAAATTAACGTGTGGTTTTACGACCACTTGCATTTACCACCATATTTTTTTGTAGATATAGATGTTTAATATTTAATATTTTTATTACAGATGTCCTCTAAAAATCGTAATAGAATAAAAACTCTGGCTTATTCACAAACAGACCTGGAAAGTGCCTTAAAAGATATAAGAGAAAGAGGACACGGTATTAGAGAAACATGTAAAAAATATAACATCCCAAGATCTACAGTACAAGACAGACTAAGAGGCAAAAGGACTGATATACTAAAAAACCTAGGACCCGAACTGGTTTTAGGGATATCCATGGAGAAAGTCCTACAATGGATTATCAAAATTGCTAAATGTGGTTTTCCTGTCAAAAAACAGGAACTACTAGACACTGTACAAAAAATTCTTAAAGATTATCAGAGACCTAATCCATTTAAAGATGATCGTCCTGGTCAAACCTGGTATTCAGGCTTTCTTAAAAGAAACCCAGAAATCTCAGTCCGGTCAGCAGAAAGCATAAACAAAGCTCGTGCACGCGTTACTAAAGAGCATATAAGGCAGTGGTTTCGAGAACTTGGAACATTTAATATTTTCGGCGACTTTTATGAAAATGTTTACTCGAACACATCAACTTTTACTTTGATACAGTAATGTTGCAGATATTCATGTCCGTTATTTTATTATCTACTATAAAGTATTTAATGTATAACTGGTGGTTAGAATTGATTATTTTATTAACCCGGCGGTACTCGCTGCTGGGTAAAAAATACCACAGAGTACCTAAATCACGTGATATTTTTATTACTAAACATGGTGGCAACTCACGACTTTAAGTACCTTCTGGCCAATAGTTAACACGCGCGTGCGTCACCGGGCGGCCAGTTCGCGCGCGGCGCTTGGCGACAACGGACGTTTAAAGTGAGTATGGGTGAAAAATACCCGGTAGCGACGGTTCTTGTTACATTTTTTTTATGTTATTGGTGGTTTTTTTTATGTTATTATTTTGTTTTAGAGCTGGTTCATGATGAGTTCCCTACTGACGGATCGAATTATAGAAGAATGTCTAGAACAAGAAGATAGTGAAGAAGAAAATGTGTCAGAAATAGAAGATTTTGAGGAGCATAGTGATCATGAAAGCGGAACAGAGCAAGAAGCAAGTGATTCAGATGGGTCTTCAGTGTCGGAAGAGAGTTTTCCTTCGAATTTACAAATTGAGAATACTGAAGATGAAGAATATTTAGAGGATGTACCGCTTAAGTACTTGAGGCGAGGTCGTTTTACTGGAAAAGACAAAAGAACTCGCTGGCAAGTTCGTGAGCCGCCGCGACGTGTACGAACAAGATCCCATAACATTATATATCATTTGCCGGGACCGATTGGCGAAGGCAGATCTTGTTCATCTATGTTAGAAGCCTGGAATCTTGTTTTTCCGGAAACGTGTTTACTAAAGATAGTCCAGTATACTAACATTTATATAGAAGAGCTAAAGTCTAAATTCTCAAGAGAACGCGATTGTAAAAGTACAGATATCGTTGAACTTAGAGCTCTTTTTGGACTACTTTATTTCTGCGGAAGATTGCGAAGTGGTCATCTGAACAAAAAAGATCTCTGGGAAAAAGATGGAAGTGGTTCCGACGTCTGTATAGCCACAATGTCACGAGAAAGGTTCCATTTCTTACTGCGGAGTTTACGGTTTGACAATATTCGTAGACGAGGTGAAAGAAGGCAAACAGATAAGCTAGCACCCATTCGCGAGATTTTCGAAGAGTTCAACAATAATATAAAAAAATATTATGCTGTCGGCGAAAATGTAACAATCGATGAAAAGTTGGAGAAGACTCGCGGCCGTTGTCCATTTCGGCAATACATACCCAGCAAACCCGGTAAATACGGTATAAAGATATTTGTGTTGGCTGACGCACGAACCTTCTATACAAATAATATGGAAATTTATGTTGGCAAAAATGATGGGCCTTATGATCACAGTAATTCACCAAGTGAAGTCGTCAAACGCTTAGTAGAACCTATAAAGAATAGTCATCGTAACATAGTGATGGACAATTGGTTCACTAGTTTTCCGCTATTACGTGATTTGCTCAATGATTATGGTTTGACAGCATTGGGTACTTTGAGAAAGAATAAAGCTGAAATTCCACTTGTATTTACCTCAACCAAAGACCGGGAAGTACACAGTTCCCTTTTTGGATTTCAAGATAATTGTACTGTTGTGTCTTATGTTCCAAAGAAAAATAAAGTCGTGCTCTTGGCGTCAACTATGCACCATGATGGCAAAAAAGATTCTGGAGAAGAAAAAAAGCCCGAGATGATCATGGACTATAATAGAACAAAATGTGGCGTCGATGTTGTGGATGAGATGTATGCTACCTACTCAGCAGCACGAGCTACCAAAAGATGGCCATTGGTTTTGTTTTATGGTCTTTTGAACGTCGGCGGCATCAATGCGTACGTGATAGTGAAGGCAAATAAAGTAAATAGTGGAGCTGCGATGGCTCAGAGAAGGATCGCTTTGAAAGAACTGGCTTTGGCCCTTGTGATGCCACAGATAAAAAAAGAGGTCAACAGTAGCTAATTTGCCAAAAATTATCAAAACAAAAATTGATTGTATGCTCAATGCTGACTCGAATGACGAAGCCACGCACACAAGCACACCCTCAGCTTTGCGACCGTCCACATCTGCTTCCCGTTGTGCAGTATGTGAATGGAAGAAGGACCGAAAAACTAAGACGTCTTGTAAATTGTGTTCCAAAAGAATATGCCGTGAGCATACGACCCCAATTTGTGGCGATTGTTATGTCAAAGCAAAATAGTTAGATTAGGTACAAGTTTTTTGAAACATAATGTTTGACGATTATTTTCTCGATGTTCATTTAATATAAACAGTATTTTATTTTTTGTTGTTTTGGTAGTGTATAAGGTCGTTTTATAATTTTTGATCTCAATTTTACGTGATACCTAAGAAAAAAATTGTTTTGTTGATTTTTCTAAGACTATGAAGAATTTTTGTTAGAATTTGTATTTTTTTTAGGATAAGCTATAATTTGAAATAAATAATAATTCAAACTTTTAATTTTCTTTTATTTATTAGACATTAGTATTAATAAACTAAATACACCATTAAAGTTTGTAATGCAAACTTATTTTTCCAAGATAATGTCATTTAAATTATGTGGTATTTTTTTACCCGGTAGCGAGTATTCGTGCATGTAAACACCTAGCGAGTACCGCCGGGTTAAGAAGGAAGAGGTGATATGTCTTCCATAAAATCTGGTGTTGCAGTGCGCCGTACAGTAGCTACTGAGATATTAGTCGCCTCAGCAGTCTGTTTATATACGTCTACGATGTTTTTCGCAGTACCTAATTTTTTTCATGTAACTAAACACTGAATAGAAAATTTGTCGGGATTGTCTATTTAACACCGAATTCTTCCTTCTCAGCTTCAGATTTTGGTCTAAATATAGACCAAAATCTGAACACTCAAATTATAACAACAAAAATAATTAAAAACAAGAAATAACAAAAACAATAAATAACAAGGAATACACAAACAACAATTAACAACGAGCTGACAAAAACAATTAACGAAAATAAGCTTATTAAAAAAGTTATCATTAAAATTATTGCTCTGAAGTGTACGGAAGCCGAATGATACGTTCGAAACCAACGGTCAACGTCGTATCGACCAATAAAAAGTGTGCTCACGACTTATGTCGGCAGTTATAGTAATATTTCGCGGGTGAGTTGTTTGTCCTCGTGCGCTCTGGTGTTTAAGTATGTAATGATGGAAGAAGGGTTTCAAAAGGGTCAATCTGACAACCTTCCAATAGTCCGTAACATGATGGTGGCGGAATATTTTCTAAGAAACAAAGATTTTGTCGCGACTGAAATACGCATAAGAATAAGATAATATTTTTATAACCTAGGTACCCATTACTACATTAATACTTCTGGGTTTCATTTGCTAATGATAAGAATAGGTATAACAAAAATACGTAAACATTCCTTACCTACCTTCTTACTATCTGCCTCTAACTAGTTTTGTTTTCTTATTCTTCTTAAATGCACCCTGACCTTTTTGTGGTTTTTATGGTTAAAAAAATGTCCTGTTGTTTATAAAGAAATTTACTACAAATATACCTTCGGTGTGTAAAAATATGATTTTATCTAAAAATCAGATGTTTTCAATATTAACAGAAAAAGGGTCGCATTATTATTATGATTAAAATCGTAGTTATATATTCTTCAGGCAAGGGATCAATGTCAATATTATCATCTAGATTTATATATTTTTACACGTGGTAGAGCCATGCTGCAGTTATATTGGTGGTATAGTTGTAGCACGAATGGGTCGGCTCGACCGGGGAAGGACCACGCTCTCACAGAATACCAGCGTGAAATAGTAGCTTAATGCTGCTGTATTTCGTATGGTGAGTGTAGAGAACCGGAGACCCTTTTTACTGGAAACGAGGCATTCCATCTTAGTCCTCACGGGTGACAACGCATCTGCATTTTAATTCATAATCGAGGATAGATGTAGATGTCTATGGGCCACAGCAACCACTTACCATCAGGTGGACTGTGTGCTCGTTTGTCACCCTATCCTATAAAAAAAAATCTAGAGTAGTAATAGGATCGACAACATATCTATGCTCAATTTCCTGTGAAGTAGTGGCAATCGCATGTGCAACTGTTTGACCTAGATTTGGCATTTAGTTTTGATAGTAAATATCTTTGTGGTTTTTCTGTATACCGATTTTGACAAGCAAACTTGTGAGGCAAAACATCTTTTTTAAGTTTGAGGGGACCACCAACTAGTTTGCACTTCACGTAGTTTTCCATACCGTTTTCGACCTAGAACAAAATGCAAACTTATTTAGTCTATAAAAAAAATAAGGAACCTCGTAATTTGTATTCCATCAATATTTAAAATATCGTATCGTATAAACTATGTAATACATAAAAATAGGACAACACGAAAAAAAAATTTAAGTGCTCCACTTCATAATCAAACTTCTTCCATTATTTGCGGCCCGCAAAGTATGCAGGTTGAACAGCTCTGCGATGTGTTTAATTTTTGCTCGCAATATCGTAAAAATATAAAAACGTTTGTTAACATATTCCATATCCTAACCTTTATATGCATTATAAACATTTTAAAATTTGCTGCAAATATAGGTAGGTATCTAAACTTACGAACTCACGACAGGTCATTGACTTATCTACATTACATAGGTAAGTACTTTACCCAAGTTTGGATGTTTATTTACACTGAAGTAGTTTTAGTTAAATATGTAGGTATTAGGTATTATTTCTTCTTGAAATTATGATTGTCATTATGCGTGGAAAGGTTCAATGAATCGTTAGTTACTTAAACACTGCGACTCGAGTAGGTAGGTACCTACATGCCTAATAGGAAGCATTTACTAGCAATAACCAAGAGCCAAGAGCTATCATGTGAAGGTTATTACTATTTGAATACTTACATCGAAATGATCCTCACAACAATATGCTACCGTGTTTGGTCCTAAATATGTGCTCTTCTCATAGCATTTGTCCATTTTTTTCTGATGGTAGGGTTTCTAGTTCTAGGCACATTAAAAAACAACTTTTCAGGTGTTTTTGTGGCCGTATTTTTACATTGAGGCACAGCACAATATTTAATAGATGGATATAGAGAATAGATAGCAAGTAGATCCGGGAACGACGGGCACATTTGAGTAAATGTTTTGATTTCCTAAGTGTAAAGAAGATAGAAAAAAATTAAAAACACAGTTATTCTCGTAATTTTTTGTAGAATTTTTTGGCATATAAAACAAAAAATGGTTATCTTCTCCATTGTTTAAAAACATTATTGAGGACTCGCAGATGGATATATGTATAAAAAATGGGTTTAGAAAATGTGGCTTGTTTCCTTTTGACCCCAATGCAGTGGATTACACGAAGTGTGTACAAAGTACTATGGAACGACTCAATAATCCAAGAAATTGTGAGCAAACGGGTATTACAAATCAAGATCTGGTTTCCACGCGAAAGGTGATACGGCATTTAGAACCAGTTCTCCGTAAGAAAAATGTAGATATCAAGTTTATTTTGAGAGAAGTGAAGAAGTTAAGAAAGACAGAGACCAGACAGTCAGAAGTTTTGTATGAAACTGGATCTGAGGACCGATCTAATTCGACAGTTCATTTATCAACATCTTCACTGATAGACAGTGAAACAAATTTGAGTAAGGCAAATCCTGCGACCATTACCTCTATGCCACAAACTGTTAATCCAGTTAAAGATAGCGATCCAGCATCAGTTATCGATGGGTCAGGTTTGAACAACATGCATTACGCGGATGAACAGTTGTTGCCTCCGCCTATTAAAGAAAATATTTTATTACAAGCAAATACTTCCAAAGACATTGCGATAGAGGGATGCGATAAATACAATGTTTCTGAATCTTTATTAACTAATTTGGAATTGAAAGACCAAGAAGCCATTAACAACCAAATAATTTCTAGGCAAGATACAACAGAAAATATAAATATAGAAACCAGGCTCACGAGCTTTTATTTATCTTGCAGTTATCTTGATCAAGGTACTCTAGTATCCTTAGATGATATCGTAATAGTACCTCTACAATCAAGTACGCCAACAAGAATAGATTTTCAAGGTATCACGTCGCCAGCAGTAGTTACATTACCTCATGTAAAAAACAAGGAATCGTTGACCGAATCTGAAAAACCTTACTCTGGAACAGAAGTTTTGTTCAAAACACCAATAACAATAGAAGAAAATCAATTGTGAGCTTCTCAGTGTACAATACTAGCAGATCAGACTATGACTGAACCTATTTTATCAACTGCAATATCAAATTCAGGCTTTTCTACTAACGTTATATCGGAAAGTAACTATTCCATTTTACGCAACACTAGCAAACATCAACCAACGTCTATGGAGTCACTTGATAATGTAATAGTCATACCTTCGGAATCAACTGCACTCAGCACTAATGCTTTTAGTAAGCATTTATTTGTGCCTGAACCCTTGGTAAAATCAAACAAAAATATTTCTAAGCCACGAGTTCCTGCTGCAATATCATCTTATCTTTTCTTATCTTACAGGCTTGGAGGAAACATTACGAGGAAAAAGAAAAAAATAAACATGAGAAAAGAGTCCATACAACGTAAAAAAGAAGCATCAAAAAGAAAGAAGGATGAAAGAGGCGAAGTTAAGAGAATATAAAGACTGTGAAATGAACGAAGACTGATAAATTTAATATTTTAGGAACAGAGAATAAAGAAAATAATATCACAAAACAAAGATGTGCTCAATATGAAGTGATTTTAAATAGTGACACAGAGGAAGACGAAGACAAAAACGTTGGCTGTGATTTCTGTACCAAATGGTTCCATTTAAAATGTACAGACTTCATCGGACTAAGTTATGATGAAGTTAAAGATAAGGCATTTAAATGCAATTCTTGTATTATAGAAGATTAGATTAGATATAGAAAAACTTGATCGTAGTCAGGACTTCGTTACATATTTTTTATAGTTTTCAGTACTTAAGTAAATGATGAGTGTGTATTGGAAAATAATTGGTGTTTACATTTATATTGTTAATTTGTTATATTTGAAATTGTTGTTTAGATTTATATTGTTCATTTGATACTTGTATACTTGTTTAAGAGATGTTGTGCTGTGATTGCAGTTTAAGTAGGTAAAGTTTAAATAATGTGTAGCTTTGATCTCATGAAAATATGACTGTTATATAATTATTCAATGTATGAATAATAAAGCGTTAATATTTAAATTGAATAAAAAAACATTAAAATGTACACATTTCATTTTATTTTTTATTTATTAAATGGTTTGGCAGAGTAGATCAAGTGGTCGCCAATTAGATAAGGTGTCGGTCGTAAACTGACAAAGGTGGTCGCTAACTAGCATTTTGTATAGTTTTTCATTATTTTTTAATTTAAAATGTTCTCACAACTGTATTCTCATTTTTTAATTTTTAAATATAACTTGACAATATCTAGGACCCTGTCAAATAATTTCAATAACTGTGCTATGGATATGTGGTACTTAAATATTGACGTAAAGTTGAGTACTCCGCTAATCGGTCACCAACTGACTAAACGACCCTATTTGATTTTTTATTGTAATAATGGTCAAATATATAAAAAATTTAAACAATACAAATGAACTAAGACGATGTAAACTATAAAACGTAATTTTTTTGCAGCAAATAAACAAAAGGATTCCGCAATAACTTTTTGTAAACCTGGGCGTTTTTCACGATTTGAGCAATGTAAAAGCCTTAATATAAATATTTTGGGTCATTACTTTATTAAACCCGTTTAACATTATTAAACCCGTGCAAATAGAAAAATTTTTACAAAACAATATAAAATTGCAGCAATAAATTCACTATAACTTTGATACCAAGACAAAACAAAAAAAAAAGTACAAAATAAAAAGGTAATTATTACCTGCCGTGGGGCAATACTATTTTCAAGCTCAGCATGTATTGCTTGTTGCAACTGAGACAGATTATCTCTAACAATAAGGTCACGTTTAAGATTCCTCAGAGAACTTCAAAGTATGCAAACATGCTTGAGGCCATGGAAAGATGAAGCACCAGGATCATTAGGTAACCCGCAGTTGATATGCTGTATTGCCAATTGCTGACGGGCATCACATACGTAATCTTCTTCAGTGATCTAAAATAAGAATTAGAGTTGTATTATGATGTATGATTGATTATAGTTGTATTATGATGATGTATTATGTAAGAGTAATAAAGTAAATAGGTATGTAAATACGTACTATTATTGAAGAATTCCACTCGCAGATCTTAGAAATTAGTCTGGTATCAAGCTCAAAAACGACATGGTGGCAAAGTGTATCAATGCATATGTTACAATTAACACATAGCAATAGCAGTGTAGTTTGCACGATGTTTCTCACAATTATCCAAGATGTGAAAAAATCAGTCCGTAAAACAACACCGAGGTCAAAACAACAGAAGGAAATAACCCAAATAACCAGAAATAACAATACTGGCGCGGTTTGATGACCACAGATTTTAAGCGAAGACAAATGACGTCTCGTTGTACATATGTAATTGAACAAAACCTTTAGCTTACTATGACCTACACAATTATTTTTATGACAAGAATCCAGTACATAATAAATCAGCATAGTAGTTGATTTGATGTCTACATACTAATAGAATTGAATTAAAATTAACAACTATTCATAAAAACGTGAATAATTATAGTCTTTGAATACCAAGCATAGATAAATAAATATGTAGGAAGCTAATACCAAGTCCTTTCACACACGAAGCATAGATAAATAAATATGTAGCAAAGCAAACACGAAGTGAAGTGAATCGTCATTAGGTGCGTTCTGAAACTATTATTTGAAATAATTTTGAAGAGTTACAAAAATAGAAATAAATGGATAACTTTTTTGTGGCTACTTAGAGAGGTATTTCTTGTGTATTTTTAGACCTTAAACAATAAGGGTATTTTACATAAATATTTCATATTAGGACGCTATCATTTCGTTGTCTGGTAAGATTTGGCCATCCTCTTTTTTAATGTTCGAAGGTTTACGAGTATTTGGCAAAAATAACTTAATCCCGAAAATTTTAATTACTAATCAACAAACAGGTGAATGGTCTTTCAGCCGAAAATAAATATACTTGAACTTCAGAAGTACAATTGTCTTCGATAAATAGGAATAATTCCATTTTCGATGTAAACTTGTAGTTATTTTTATTGTGTTAATTAATTAAGATAAGTTAACAAATATTGAAAGTGGATTGAAATTGTTTTATTCATTTTCTTATTAATAATTATATTGTTTGAGCTTTAATTTAATGAATGGCTTAAGTACATTCTTTTAAGTTAATAGTTATTTTGTAATAGAAATTATTTTATCGACTTACGGTACTTCGTAGTTCGATACAATCATTTTTCTGAAATATTAATTTTTATGGATGAACGGCTATTCACCTGTTTGTATTTCGGTATAGTTTCGTAGACGTATTCAGAAAATGCGATAATAGTGAAGGTAACATATGGAACTACCATAAAAAATTTACGCACCACATCATGAGAAATAAAATTAAAGCAGAAGACGAATGGAACTTTGATAGCGCGATTTAGGCTCCAGTGTGTTTCACGTGTGGCACGACGACAGCTCCGCCACATCACCCTCCTAGCTCAGACCGGAGGTCGACAGTGCAGTCCGATTGCCGGTGCATCCTTAATGCCGGTGTGGAATGCATGCTATATGCGTAATGGCAAGTGACATATGCGCGAATGATATGCCGATGTGTAATGCATGTCGTACTGCGCACTGGCAAGTGATGCCGGTGAGAACGATGTGCCGGAGCAAGTGCCAGAAGCCTGCCTTATAAATCTGCGGTGATTGCAGTAACTGAAGACTGCAAAAGACGATTCTCAGTAGTGAATGGTAGGAGTTCTTGTGGATAATGACGAAAGCTTGAAGTTGTAGTTTCCGAAGGTTGTTGGTTTCGTGTTCAGATCACGTCGGGTAGTCACCACTGTGGTCGTGGAAGGAAAAGGGGAGATCTTCCGGCGGGCAAGCTGTTCTGCTCGGGGAGCGGCCAACGTTCCGCGAGATGGTTCGGAGATGTTCTATATATACTGTTTACGATTCGGAACTTTGATAGCGCGATTAAGGCTTCGGTGTATTTCACGTGTGGCACGACGACAGTGCCGCCACAGATTCTTTTTCTGATAATTATTAGATAAAATTAAATGTGTAAAAATAAATAGTGTAAAACTTTCTAAAATAACATAAATATAATGTTTCATTTTTATACTTCTTTGTTTCATTTCTGTTCAAAATGATTATTTATTCCTTACGTATGTATGTATGGATATATTTAAATGACGATAAAAAACATCGAAAAAATCGATATATCGTACATAAGCCTTGATGTTTTTAATGAGCGATGGTGCATCCTATAGATGTGCTTACTTGAAAAAAAAATACGATTTGAGTTAACTCAAGTTCAAATTCACTCCACTCGAACTAACTCTAGCTAAGCAACTAGAGTTAGCAGGACGAATCACAGTAAATGATTTATTACAACTACTTTAAAAATATCGATTCAATAAGTATATATACTTTTTCACTTGTCCATCCCTATGATTGAGTAAGGGCGTAAAATCAGGCTAGTGTAACTGACGTCCCTAACTAGGGGCCACGCCCACCCTTCATTCAGGGCCTCGATTCAGGGTGATGTAATAGAGGCATGACTAAATATAATACCCCTATTACACTACCCTGAATCAGGCTCCCTACGCCCTGATTCACGGTGGTGTAATAAGAGAAAGGGAGTAAGGGTCCCTAATTAGGGCGACAAAGTACACCCTATCTGCAGTGTCCTTGCCACCGTGTATTGTAATAACACTTAGGGTAGTTAGGGATGAAAAACGATCCATCAATTCTTACAAACATCGATATATCGTTCGGAAATATGGTTATTCATGAGCGATGTTTTATGAACGATGTTTTGGCTTGCCGTCAAAGGTTTCAAAATAACCAACTATTTGAAGGTATAAAATTCCGTATGTTAAAAGTTGCAAACGATGATTATCGCGAATTTTATATCGCCGAAAAATAAATATACCAAAAAATATATCTCAAAGTTAGATAACGTCTAAATTTTTAAAGTTAGAAGGTTTATTTAGTAGAAATATCACAATCCCGAAAATTTTAATTGCGAATCAACAAACAGGCGAATGGTCCTTCAGTCGAAAATAAATTGTACTCTCGACTCAAATATACTTGAACTTCAGTAGTGCAATTGTCTTCAATCGGTTATTTCATTTTTGATGTAAAATTGTGTTTAATTTTTATTGTGGTAATGAATTAACATAAATTTACAATTAATATTGAAAATTGATTGGAATGGTTTTATTAATTGTTTATTAATAATTATATTGTTTGAGCTTTCACTTAATCAATAGATTAAGTACAGTCTTTTAGGGTAATAGTTATTTTGTATTGAAAATTATTTTATCGGCTTACGGTACTTCGTAGTTCGATACAATCATTTTTCTGAAATATTGATTTTTATGGATGAACGATTATTCACCTGTTTGTATTTCGGTATAGTTTAGTAGATGTATTCAGAAAATGCGATAAAACTGAAGGTGTCATATGGAACTACCATAAAGAAGTAACGCACCAAAA